AAGAATCCTAAGAATTTAAAAAAAAAAAAAAAAGTGTGTTTTTATGGTCTTAAAAAAAAGACTGATGGATAAAGGAATAGATGGATAGATTATATTAAAATGGTAATGTAGAAAATATGTGGTATGTATCTGAGTGTTCACTTAATTTCTTTTGCCTCAGCTGGATGTTTGAAATTTTCAAAAATAAAAATGGGGGGTGGGGTGGGAAACTGTGGTCTCAGATTTAAGACTCTCATGAAGATAAGTGCTTCATCCTAGGACAGTTCTGAGATCCAAAGATCATTCTGGAAAGGTATGTATGGGCTATGATATCAATGACTTCTTCAATGTATTTATTTTAGCTTAGTTATATCCAAAAGAATAGTAACAATACAGTTAATACATTTACAATGAGCTTATGTGTCAGGCTCTATATATCTACCCAACATCTCTATGACAAGTGTTATTTCTTATCCGTATTTTACTGAGGAGGAAAAAGGATTAAGGAACTTAACCGAGGTCACCCAGCTCATATCCTAAGTGGTGGCCTAAGAATCTGGCTCCCAAGTCTGTGCTAACCAATTCATTATACTGCCTCTCAAAAGCATTCCCATTAGAACACTAGCTCGAAGAAGGGGGAGACTTTTAGTTTACTGTTGCATCTTCTGACTCTTAGGAAAGGAGTGCAGGTAGGGAAAGAAAAAGCAAAGATGGCGGTGCTTTATGGGGAAATAAACCAAAGATGTCTACCTCTGCAGAGTCCTAAAGCCTAAGAGAAGGCACTTACTCAGAAAAGCCTTTCCACTTCAGTAGATATTCCACTTGCCCCTTAACCACACGCCTATCTAGCACCTTCTCCACGACGTACTCCTCCTCATCCTCTGAAGAAGAACTGTCAGCTGTCCGCTTGGTTTTCTTTCCCATGTCGCACGCTATTCCACCTGAAGGACTAAGGCCACCGGGTTCCTGCAAATGGGAAGGACAAAATGGTCAGAATCCATGTGAGGATGGGTCTTGATGAGATGCAGAGGGCATAACATAAAGTTGCCATGCATCCTTCTTTTGGGTCTTAAGCATTCTACAGAAGAATCCTAAGAATTNAAAAAAAAAAAAAGACTCAGAAGTAGGATTTGGGGCACAGTAATTCAATGGTCTGGATTCAGTCTGCTGTCACTAGGTAGTCAAAATACACTGTTATATCAATAAGCCAAAACAAAACAAAACTGTAACTAAATAATTGGGCTTAATTAAACTTGGATCAAGGGAGTCCTATTATAAGTAGAACAAATAGCCAGTATTCACAAAGTTGTTCTCTGTATTTGGGGCATGGGTTTTAGGAAACCAAACCCCCAACTCCATAAGCTTACGAAATCAAAGCAAGAAGTGTTACCTACAAACCAGGCATCCTCTTCACTTCCTAGCCAGTGGCAGAGGTTTTTTTTGGTTATAAGGTGAGCACTAGTTTATACTAAGATACATATGTAAATATACCATAAAAGCAGTTTCTACAATATGTTCATTGACTTGGGGCAAAAAATTTTTAATTTATGCACTTCCCATTTTAGATATTTTATTGTTTTTGTTTTTAAAATAAGGTATCTTTACCCTTCCACCATGTGAAGTTATAGCAAAAAGACAGCCACCTATGAACCAGGAAGTGGACCCTAACCACATACAGAATCTGTCCGCACCTCGATCTTGGACTTCTCAGCTTCCAGAACTGTAAGAAATAAAGTTCTGTTGTTTATTTTCCCCAAAAGGTATCTTCAGATAGGAATGGCTTGAATACATGCCACAACTTGACTCAAATAAGCAGCAGGATTAAAAAAATCTGAGATATTTACTCTAGACTAAAACAACTTTCTACAAAAGGAGCTTAAGAGTTAAGACAAAATTTATTTCTAAATATTTTATCTAAAACTGGAAAAGCTTCTCTTTCATAGCTCTACTTTTAGTAAAAAAAACAAAAAACAAAAAACCAAAAAACCAAAAACAACCCTCACATAGTAATGTTTCCCCCAAATACACACACCATGTAGTGTACTATCTCAGGAGAAATTCAGGTACCAAAATCAAGAGGCATATAAGCAGCTAGGTATGGGGGTAGGAGAAAGTCTGTTTATAGCAAGAAAAGCCAGTCCTATAACGGAATTACCCCTTTTCCTACCATATTGGTATTGCTGTTTCTACATTAACAATTTTCACCCAAAAGACGGCATGAGTAAAATTTTTAAGAGTCTGGGCTTGAGGACCAAAGAAATCTGATACTGAATCCCTGTTCCAGCACATACCAGTTATGTTATCTTCAGCAAATAACTTCACTAATTTCCTCATGTATAAACTGAAAATACCTCTACACGCTGTTATGAGAATTAAGAACACATGAGATACTGTAGAATCTGACCACTGCCTAGCAAACAGTAGGTACTTAGCTGTAGACAGTGCTGAAGGGGCCAATTTTGTTCCAGTCTTTAATGGAATCCTGGGCATTTCTGACCAAGGACAAACGCTTTATCTGTCTACCCCAAGCCTTGTCTTTCCCTCTTTTGTCTATGTAAGGTACCACTACAGATATAGTTTCAAGTACTTTGAACCAAGAATTTCTTTAACCCAAGAATTTCCTGTGGTGATTCAATGGACCCAATACCTTTTAAAATCTTCAGGTGTTATTTTAATTCCTACTTCACAGTGCTCTAGGTCTCTCAAACTCAAAGTTGTCATCGCTAGAGAATACTGTGAAACTAACTCTTTAGAAATACGAAGGGCATATTCTGATTGCTGTGTTACCCACCTTTGGTGCTGTGTGCCAGAGATGCTAGTGTACACACTGTCCCACCTAAAACGCCAATAGTGCTCCAGGTGAGAAACTTTGATTCATGTAATGAAATAACCTGAAGTATGTTTCAAAGACTCCTATTCATACCTTTGTCTAAAGGTACTGTCAAAACACTGAATCTTTTAGTATATTTAAGTCCTACACTTTAAAGCTGTGATGTTCAATATGGTAGCTACTAGGTACGTGGCTGTTGAGTACATGAAATGTAACTAGTTTGAACTGAGATGTGCAATAAAATGTAAAATATGTGTCAGATTTTGAAGACTTAGCATGAAAAAACAATGTAAAATATTTCAACAATTTTTAAATTAATTAATGTTGAAATAGCATTTTGGTATATCTTGTTAAATATACTATCAAAATTACTTTCAGTTAATGTGGCCACCAAAATATTTTAAATTACATGTGGCTTGCATTATATTTCTGCTAGACAGCACCACTCTATGGAGCCTAAACCAGTTCCTATCAGTAAACTGGGGTTCTGAGAAATCTTTGTTATCAGGCACCCTGAGAAGAGAATTAACCAGCAATTGAGGCAAAATGGCTAATGATTACACAGCTTCACATATTTCAATTTTCAAGCTATTTGTACTATGCTTTAATATGTGGCCAGTTCTATTTATTCCAAAGGAATGAATAATCCACCTTTAGCACTTCAGCCTAATGCCAGTTACTGCCTAACACATTCTACTCAACACTTCAGTGTCATTCTTAAATCTCATTGACTTAAAAAAGTGTGTTTTTGGGCCGGCCGAGTGGCGCGATGGTTAAGAACTCGCTTGGGATGCCAGAGGGCCCCGGTTCGGATCCCACATATGAGGGCCAGTGACACTGCCCTCCA